AATTTCTTGTTCAAAGATAAATACCATATATTTCCTTTTTGCAATTAGGGCATTCTTCTGGAAACACTCACTTGAAATTACATTTTCCTTAATCTGTATTGTAATCAAATAATGCTGTATTTTTTTAAAGTAATCTATATAACTTGTAGGTTATATTTATCAAGCCAAAGCTCTAAAATGCCAAAGAAAAAGGTAGTTTTTAATGGCAATCCTGGAAGGATAATTATTCTAAATTATGTGATTCACCTATACATATGTTAGACTGTAATCAAAGAAAGCTAAGTGTTCAAAAAGTGAAGAATGGGCTGACTGCAGTGGCTCATACCTGTAATCCCAGCACTTTAGGAGGCCAAGGCACAGGGATCCCTTTAGCCCAGAAATTTGGAAGTTCGATACCAGCCTGGGTGACAGAGCTAGACTGTGAATCCCACCTCACCCCACAAAACGTGAAGAATGTAATAAATATTAAGATTAAGTTATGTATTCTAAATCTACAAATTAGTTTAACCATTTTCTTCCCAGTTTCTTACAATAATTGAAAGTATATTTACTAGTGCATTAAGACCACCCTTTGCTGACTTTACCTTTCCCTCTAACATTAAACAGCCTAAACATGAATTGTTTCTTTACAAATATATTCAAGGTGCTTAGTTCAAATAACACTAGGTGTCTAGCTGGGCATGGTGGCGCGTGCCTGTAATCCCAGCTACTCAGGAGGCTGAGGCAGGAGAATTTCTTGAACCCAGGAGGCGGAGGTTGCGGTGAGCCGAGATCGCGCCATTGCACTCCAGCCTGGGTAAAAAGAGCGAAACGCCGTCTCCAAAAAAAAAAAAAAAAAAAAAAAGAACACTAGGTGTCATGCACTTCCCTGAGACCTCAAAAATAAAGTGAAATTTTGGAAGTCCCTTTAAGTTTATGCATCTTCCTCAGTCTGGCATTTAATTATTATCTGATTATGATATGAAGTGTCTCCCTGTGCCCAGGGACAATTAGCAGGGCCAAAATCCCAAAATCCAGGTAGATTTTCTGCTCATCACAGGTTTTACTATGGAACTCTACGTCATCCTGTTCTTGCTCACTAAAAAATACATTTTAGGCAGCTTGTATAGTTTCAGAGAAGCAGGTGCTAAACTCTTCTTAGAGGGTACAATCAGACTGGCAAATGTTTCTACTCTAATTTGACACATTTTTCAGCAGGCATTCACTGATTTCTGGGCCTAGTTGGACAGCTCTCTTTCCAGAAGGAAATTATACTCCTAGGCACTCACCTGGATATATACCAATTTTTTTTAATCTATTGAAAATTCCTGAATTTTTCCAGGGCTTCATGGAATCACTTCAAAATGGTTAAGATAGAAATATTTTGACTCCTTTTTTCTCTTCAGTTCCAAAATTTGGGCAGACTTTTGAGATAATTTACCTTGTGGCAGATTATTTACCGAACTCTGCAATAATAATGATGATTGTGATAACAATATTTTTTATATTTGTTGAGGATATTCATTTTAAGAATGTATAAAGATATCGGAAAAATAGCCAGTCAATATTTACTTGAATCAATGTTAGTATAAAGATGATATGAACTTATTTTAGTCCCATTATTCAACCACTCATCACCAATGTAATATCTGCCTGGGTCATAGGCTAATCTCTATGTAGCATAATGCCAAACCCAATGATAGTAGATATTCAACTAATATTGGGGATGCAAATGAAGAATGTATATACTGCTATTGAAGCCACTACTGATTACCAATTATGGGATCAAGTTAACATTTTTAAATTTCTGTTGAAGTAAAGAGGATGTCAGCAGTTGGAAAGAGAAAATGTCCATCCTTTTTTATTTTCCATTGCTCCACTTCCAAAATAATGCAACTTGCCTACTGTGTTTTCTGGTCATGCTTGTGTGTTGCGGTGAGGTGAGAGGTAAGAGGGTGGGTGAGTGGGTGTGTGTCTACCTTTGGTCCACTTAGGTTTACTACTTTCAAGCTTTAATTGACCTTACTTCCAACTAAAGGGACATATGTTCAAATCATTATAAGCTGTCTTCAATTATTTGCAAACACCAATGTATATAAATATCAATAACAAATTCACTCTGACAAACAAGAATTTCCATGCTTAGCATATCTAATAAACATCTGGTTGGACTGTTATAAGTTCTTTGATTGGATTATCAGTTTTACTGGACCATGTAGTTTGACCAGATCAGACAAGCTTACTAATTCCTACCTTCTCAGTAAAAGTCACAGTGATAACTGAAGGAAGAAGAAGTTTAATTCTAATTTCTAATTGTAATAATGGTGAAAATATAAACTCTAATGGAGTTGGATAGGAAGAACATAGCATTATACTCTAGGGAATCTCTGATCTGGGAACAGTTAAAGTCTTATGACTTTTAAGTATTTGGGTTCCAGATGTCCATATATAATTAACACAAACTGAAGGCAAATGTAGTTATATTACAAATAATATGACATAACTTTCAAACTTGACAAAGTACATTGAAAACAGATGAAAGCAGGCTGTTAGCTCATACTGGCATGAAATAAGACCATCTTATATGGCACAGAGGTGGTGCAGGTATTTACATGTGTCATTAAACTGAGTTTTGTTGTTTCTCATTAGGATAAATAACTGCAATCTCATCCGAATGCTTTTTGGAGATGAATATACCCTTGGGTATATCATTTTCTTTTACAAAATAATTAAATAGATGTCTATTGCATGTCTTTTAGTTCAGTACTCTGGGAAACAGAATTGTTTCAGATCTACTTGAGATACCCATAGAATAGAATTCATTGAGTTACTGAAATGGTAATACGTTCAATCTTTTCCTTTTTTCTTCTATTGAAAATACTTTAACACTATGTTAGTGGAGTTTAGTGTAATAGTTAAAATGGAGATGCATAGTTAAATAATAGACTTCTGAAAAGTTATGCTTTCTGACAGTATTTTACTCTATGACTTGTTTCTTTGAGCTCTTAGAAATGGCTGATGGCAGTTCTTTACCGAAGTGTTTTGGCAAGTGGTCATTGACTTTTGACAGTCTGTGATAATTCAAATAGTAAAGGGGCATTTTATAATCCATAAGAATGCATTTGCTGTATTATTTTACAGGAGGAGTATTTTACAGAATGAGAAGGCAGTTTCTCTCCTGTTAGTCATCTGTGTGTTTCTTCATTTTCCATATTGTACCCAATCTGCAGTTCTTACTAGGACAAAGCATCCTTTTAAATCAGTAAGAAACAAAATCAAATAAAAAATGCTGAATCAGGCCCAGCAACACCATATTAATTATGCAGTGAATACACAGTAAAATTTACAGTAGACCTTTCCAAGACCAAACAATAACGTTGAAAACTCAGTCTATTCCAGGAGTAGGCAAGTCTCCATAAATTTTCTATTTCTCTTTAAAGGCAAATGCTCATTCATTGCATAACACTGAAAGACATGGTTACTCCTACTTAGTCCTCCACAAACATCATTAGCTATTTAGATGACCAATCATTTTTAAGTGTGTCATTAAAGTCAGTGGAAGGCTTGGGTCTGCAGAGACACAAGAATTCAAATACTTTAAGTAGACTAGATAGAAGAAAACCATATGGGGGTTTGAAGAGCTGTGAGCTGGGAAGAAGGGCTTGATAATTATTAAAATTATCTAAATGTGAAAAGAAAACCTAGGTTTCTCTAAACATTCTTAATTCTTAGTGCTTGCAATGCCTCAGGTACCTTGAAGTAGTTACCTTGATGCCTGCTTATGTATTTAGGTTTTGTGTTTGTGTTTATGTGCGTGTTTGCCTGAGTGTAGTTTCTCCTGGCAGCAGCGTGTGTTTGGCGTACGTGTGCATATGTATGAGTATGAATTAATTACATATCGAAAACGTGTGCACTAACAGCATCTGCAGTCCTCCCTCGCTGCTCCAGTCAGTCGGGATGTTTAGCACCGTCACTTGGTGTTAGGACCACTCGGAAGACCTGCCCGTCGGACGCCTGATTGTGGTTCCCGGGGGACCGGAGCTCCGGGAGCCTGTACCATCTCTATCTGAAGGGGAGGAGAGAAGGAAAAGAGAAGGCATCCGAGCGAGGGTGTTCTCCTCCCCGCAGCCGGGTGGGGGGCAGCCAGGTTTGGAGCAGGGTTCTAGGATTACACGGCAAATCCCCAACTTCAGCACCGCGGACAGCACCACCTCCCGCCCAGGGAGAGGCGCGCGCCTCCTTCCTCCGCCCCCGCCCCGGCTAATGGACCCTGGCCGGTCGGCTCAGTCTCCCTTTTGCTTTCAAACGAGGCCAGGGCAGGGCAAGAGGGTTTTGACAGCCAGAGGGGTACGGTAAGGAGGAGGAGGAGGAAGAGGAGGCGGAGGCGGAGGCGGAGGAGGAGCAGAGGAGGGGAACCAGAAGGGGTGAGAAGGGAGGGCTTCCCTCCGCCTCGCTCGCCGCCCGGGCTCGCAGGCGCTGGAGGCGGCGGCGTCTCCTGCTCCCCGCGGCCGCTGCCGCTGCTCGCGCTCCGCCGCCCGGGAGACGCTTCCCCGCGCCGCGCAGCGCTGAGGCCGTGCGTGCGCCCCGGGTGCGCGGCGCGCTCCCCACATACACAAGCTCTCCATGTGAGCTGACGGGCGACTGGAAAGCCCCCGAGTCACGCTGCCCGGCGGCGGAGGGAGCGCTTGCAGTGGCAACAGCAGCACCCGCGTCCCCGCCGCTCTGCCTTCCTCTTCTGCAGCCTCCGCTCTTCTGATTGCCCCCTCCCCCGTCCTTTGCTGATTTTTTTTTTTTTTCCGAGAAGGAGAGGGCGGGGTGGGTGTCCGTCCCCTCCTGTCTCCCCCCTCCTTTGCCTTCCTGGTTTGAATTTCCTCCCCCGGCATTGCACTGGCACACAGAGCAAGAGGCAAGACCCGCACGGAGGGAGAACGAAGGCTGAGACTCCCCTGCCGCTCCAAGCCCAGAACTGGAGCCTGGAGGGGGGGTGAGGGAAGAGGAGGAAGCGGGAGGGGCTTGGCTTCCTCGCGTATTTGAGGACAGCCCATCTCCCTTCCAGAACCCTACGGAGAGAGGGACTGCATCTCCGCAGCGAGCTCGAGGAGCGCCGCCGGCCGGGAGGCGAAGGATGCTCGCGGCTCCGCGCGCCGGCTGCGGGGCAGCGCTCCTGCTGTGGATTGTCAGCAGCTGCCTCTGCAGAGCCTGGACGGCTCCCTCCACGTCCCGTAAGTAGCCCTGTCCTCGCTCTGCGCTGGAGCAGTTTCAGTGCGGCACTGATGTTTGGCACCAGGGTATCAGCTCCGAAGTGCCTTGGCAATGTGCGCACCCTGATGTGTGTGTGTCTCCGCTGTCACACACTTGCAGCCACTGCAGTGGACAAACTCAAAACCCAGCGTTTCTGATTTGGAAGAGACGGGTTGTGACGCGGGTGTTGTTTCTGGAAAGTTGTTCCTGGTCTTGGCAACAGCTTGGTTAGAGAGATTGGTGTAGATGGCAGTTTCTTAGGAGTTGTTTGTGCAGAGAATTAATTGCATTTTGCTTAGGTAGGTCAGTGAATGAAGAGTGAAAACCATGGCAAAACCAAGTTTCTTATTTTTATTTATGGATATAGCTTAATGATCACGGAGTTGAGGTTAACAAGAGGAGCATAAACACTTTGGGCACCCATAGAGTCTCTTTAACCGCTCCAGCCCCTTAAAAAGTTAATGCCCCTTTAGCACTTGCTTGTTAAAATGGAAGGCAGTGAATGTAATCTTGTAACTGAAATTGCTTTAATTCCTTGATACTTTGATATCATGGATATGACTGATGCAGTACAGGACTTGGGACAGTCAGTGCAAAGCGTCGTTAATGTAGTAATGAGGAGATTCTTAATATAGTGTGCAGGAAAATAATTCTATTCAATAAGTATATCTCTGCATTTTAATCGTGTGTGTGCATGCGTGTGTGTAAGATTGCCCATGATTTCATGAGGTTTAGAAAGAAATGGAAGATTCTGGCCCATTTTCTGCATTCCTTTAGGAGTGCATACCGTGCATGTAGAGAGGAAATGCGTGATTGTTCCTTTGGTTCGGAAAGAGTTAAACACTAGAAAGACTGCCTATAGGAATCTTAGGATACTATTCATAAGCGCCTATTTGTTTGTGAGAATAAGTAAGTTGATAAAGAATTATCATGGAGTGTAAAGAATTATCAGAGTGTAAAAATAAGTGTGTTTTGTTTTTTGGGTTTTTTTGTCCATTTTTGGAAAGGAAAAGTTTAATATTTTCCAAAATTCCTCACATGTGAAGTAGTCTTCTCTTTTTTTTTTTTTTTATAAGATTTGGGGATGTATTAATGCATTTTTGTTTACATGTTAATAATGCTATTATCCTAGTGGTATATATCAATAGGAATAGCATTGAAAAAGGACTTTATAAGTTGTGATAAGGAATCTATAATATAATGGTATCATATGATGAACAAGTATTGTTTTCATGTATCTTCCTAAGTACAGTATTAGCCTTTCTTTTCTCACAATGTTTAAGGATAAGGAGACAAAATAAGTGACAATCTAAGTTTGTAATGAACTTGAAAACATTTATATAGCATTTTTTATAAAAAGAGTCAAACCACAAAAAGTTAGTGTATATATTTATGTCAATTTTATAAATTTAAACAGAAATTGTGGAGATATAATGCTTGCTGCTGTTATTTACACAAATATGTAACTCTATCATTGGGAAATTAGTTTGATGAAATTTCTGTTTCCTTTTCAAGGTCTGGTTATGTAGGATTTGCTGCCACTTCTCTTGGAAAATAAACTCCGTATATGTTAAATTTCTTATATTCACTGGTTGAAGGTCCTCCTATCCAGGATTTTTCTTGGGCTCTGTATTTCATCATTCTATATACTTTAATTATGATGGATCAGTCTGAAATGTTTGCCATGTGTAACAAAAGGAACACTGGCAGCCATTGGGTTAATACATTTTAAGATAGAAAAAGTTGTTATTTCAGAAATATTATCTGAGATTTTAACTATTTAGTTAGAATTTGAAGACAGAGAACATAGAAACAATTACTTTAAAGATGGTTAATAGTTATGTTTATTAAGATATATTTATTAATTTGGCTTTTATTCTCTATTGTTTGAAAAATGTATAATGGTTTAATTAAGGTGGCTTTTTATTTCATTTGAATTTAAACTGTGTGACCAAAATGCAAAGTTGCCCTATATCCTGGAAATGAATTAAATAATAAAAATGATACAGAACTTTATTGATTAGAATGAGCTTCATGGATTTAGTACTTTAAATATCAATTGTAATTTGCATTAATGAACATTTTTATTTACATTATATATAGCTCTGAAGGAGAGTATGATAGTTATATTCTTAATACTAAAAACATTCAAAGGAGAAAAAGATGGAACTACATGAATCGAAGATAATGAGCAACTCAACCAGGAGAGGTCATCACAAGACAAAAAGTAGCATGAAAATCTAAAACTATCATTTTTCTTTGATACATATTTTTAAAATGTGATGAGTATGCTAAAACCTTCTGTTCCTAAATAACTTTTTTAATATGAGGGACATTATAGAAGATATTGCTAATACTTTATTTCACAACTCCATTTCAAATATGTGTTTGCTTTTGGCTTATTTCTTTTTCTCTGTCAACACACATATAAAAACTGTTAATTCTATGTTTTGTATAAGAAGACTAGGATAAACTTTAAAACAGAGCTCATCTCTATGGTTATGTAAAAATATAATCTAGTTTCTTTGTACGTAGTGAAAATGAACTACTGGTGAGCTGATGGAATGAATTGTGTATCTTCCCTTCCTGTAAATGTAGACACACGAGACACACACATGGGAAGTTTAAAGAGAACCTTTTACTCTTAGGGAGCTGCATTTATTTCAATATATTAGAAAGACCCTGACAGTGCTGTTCTAAATGATGAGGAGTTTGAGCTAGCATTTAATAAATTCACTTTTTAAAGTTAACTGAAGTTTTAATTAAATAAATCATTTCCCATAAAGGTCAATTTATATCATTTATAGAACTATTGGCCTATAATTTCATTGACTATCACATTTGGCAAATGTGTTTTGAGTGGATTCAAATATTCTCTAACAAATATTTTATACATGTATATATACACACACATTAATACATGTGTGTATAAATATATATATGCATATATATATTTTATAAAAACATTTGAATTCATGTTATAAAGTATATAGATACATATTTAATATAGTATATACTAAATATTATATGTAAAAATTGGTACGTTTATATATTTTCTAACACATCATTCAAGGAATTTAAGTTATTTACAAATTTATAGAGAGGTCTCTTTCAGTGCAATTATTTTAAGTATCTAGTGCAACAGTATTAAGCAATACTATATTAGTCTATTTTCTCTTCCTCAATTCATATATTTCCCAGAAAATGGTATATTATAAATGTAAAATATGTAAATTGATATAAAAGCAAATATTATTAGTTTATAGAGACAGTGAAATGAATTTGCCTTAATAAAAACAATTTAAAATTGAAAGGAGTTTTAGGCAAGCAAAATTCATTGGTCGATAAGTATAGTACATTGTTTACTTAATGCAAATTAATAATATTATTATTAACCCATTGGAAAGAAATACATAAACTTTATTTCATTATAGGCATGTATATTCATGAAATAAGAATCATTTTTCAAATTTTACTCTTTACCATCAATGTATGGCAAAATTGGGTTAAAAAAATTAATCCACAAATTTAATTTAGGTCTTATTAACCTTTATGTGGTTATAAACCTACAACATATCATTTTAGATTATATCAAAGTTGTTTGGTGAACATCATACTTTAAATCTTACATTTCTAATACAGTTATGTGCCCCATAATGACATTTCAGTCCATGGTGGACCACATGTTTGATGGTGGTTCCATAAAATTTTAATGGAGCTGTCATATATAGATGTGCCCTCTTTCATTTTGTATATTATATTTTTACTGTATCTTTTCTGTGTTTAGATATGATTAGATACACAAATACGCATTGTGTTATAATTGCCTACAGTATTCAGTATAATAACATTCTGTACAGGTTTGTTGCCCAGAAGCAACAGAGCATAACATACGGTCTGTACTATGTGTGAAGGCTATACCATCTAGGTTTGTGAGTGGGTACTATCTAATGTCAGCACAAGGACAAAATTGCCTGGGGGTACATTTCTCAAAACATAGCCTTATTGTTAGGCAATGCATGACCGTATGTATTTTTTTTCTATTTTAAGTGGCAAAATCTTTCAAGTTCTATAAATTCTCTGAAATTTGCTTCATTTTTCCCAATTAGTAAATTCTTCTAGACAAAAACTTAATGAAATCTATTAAAGTTTACATAAAGCTTCTTGTCTTGTGATTCTTCTTTATGATTGAAAGAAAAGAAATGTGACATGTCTACACTTGTCTTCTCTTTTTAACAAGTAGATTTTTGTATTTGTTGTAAATGGTATACAGAATTAGGAGAGAATCTAGGCTCAGAAATTCTTAATTCAAATGTGTTTTCTTTAAAATATTAAACATATGGAGATACAACTTGTGCAAGTTGTTTGTGTAGTGATTGATGTCAGTGGGATGAAGAAATAAAATATGTACTTTAAAGATTTTCCCATATCTAGTCATGATATGAGAAGTGCTTTACTTTATCATTTTTTGCTACTTGCAAAGTTATAAAACAGGGCATACAGTAATTTTAAGCCTCAAAATCAGTGTGTGTGAAATAAAATAAATTTTATATTTATATCTCTACCAGTATCTGAAATTGGTTGTTATCAGTTTCGAGAGAGATACATATTTTAAGATAAGTAGTTAGCAGATATATAAGGTATATTTCTACAACCATTCAATATTGGGCTGCTGATATAAATTATATGCTTATTTTTGCCATTTTAATAAGTAAGAATAATCATACAATCGTCTGTATACAGATGTTAATTTTCAAATGAAAGCCTTGAAAAGAATACTTGTAACAGAGTGATTCATTAAAACACTGGATTTTCCCATCTCCTGGGCCCTATAGAACCTGTGAGCTTTAGTTTTGACCAGATAAGGATGTTGGAATGTGGAGGTGCTACCTCTTTCTCCATACTAACAGTTCCTTTGATGGGTAGAAAAGTCCACCTATGACACTCTTAGAGTCTATGTCTACAGTTCATTCTTTCTTTC